CCTGAGGGGATGAATGTAGCAGAGCTTCTACCTAAATGCGTCCATCAGTTACAAGAAGTTTAACACTCTTTTACTCTAATTAGTCCTCCGGGGCAACACGAAGGGACGAATGAAAGGTAAAGGATAGGAAATTCTGGCTTCAGTCACCAAGGGACACTTGCTTAATTTTGAGGGTTCGGCTAGCCTGACATTTCGTTAAATTTGGATACAATTCAGATTTGAATATTTCAATTGTCACCTCACTGCATAACACTTTTGACACAGTTTTAAACATTAAGAGACTTTAATTTAAATCTAATATTTAATGCACACATGATATTCTTATACTAATAGCCTAGTAGTTTATCACCGAGATATATCATCTACTAGTAGTAGAACCCGAAATGGCAGGCTCAAATCTGGACGACATTAAATACTTTAAGTGTCTATTCATATTGCTTGCTGACTTTCTGACGAACAGTTACATACTAAATTTAATAAAAAGGCAGTTAGCGATGCTTCTGACTATTCCGTCTAGTATAAAAATCGTTGGATATAAGTAATAACATTTTATATTTAAATCTCTATAAATTAATTAAGGTAAAAGGAAACCCTTTAAAATTCATTTCACTTAGATCAACCTGATAGTCTATTTGCAGAGTCCAACAATTTTCCCTCATGTACCATTCTCAGTTGAATTCAATTTAAGCTTCTCAAATATTCCACGCGCACCGAGCTAGTCGACTCGCCCGCTCGGGATCGATGGTACTACGGCTTAGAAAAGATGGCCTAATATCACAACAGATGTCTACGACGGTTATGTCAACTGGCCGTCGAAGTCCATTCACTAAACTAATAAAAGATTCAGCATTGTCGTTTGCCCGAAAGAGGGTTCTTCCAAAGCATTGACGCCCATTCCGAGCGGTGTGCGTATGGTTTCGAGGTCATGTTAGACCTTTGCCCCCTATTATCGTGTATGTGGTTTTCACAATGAACGAACAGGTTGTAACGTATTAAACTTTTTGTTAATATAACGGAACAGCTATTATATTTTTTATATAATAGGTTATATATGTAATTGTAGGTACAATTACTACATACTAAAAGAAATTATTTTCATTTGTACATTTAATTCAGGACTATCCTTATTCAGAGGTTATATACTATGCATGTGTCAAAGAAACATTGAACATATTTCCTCACAGAAGGAACAGAATGACTTTACGTCCTCAATCTGAAGTCTCAAAGTCAAAGTAAGAATATTTACATAAACTTACTGTTTCAAATATGCAATCGAGAAATATCGGTATCTGCAGAAAAGTTTTGAGATTGCACAAGAGTTATTCATACGTTTATCTTCAACATTACAATGACAGTTTATGAAAAAACCAACAAAGATGAAATATAATTATTAATATAACAAATTTAGCTTAAATTTACATATAAAACATGGGATTGAACAACATATTATACATTTGAGACCATTTTCTTTTCTTTATTATTCTTTGATTTGACCTTTTCATACGGAAGCATATTTTAATAGCTTTTTTTACTTTTAACTTGGGTTGAAACGACACCTACAACTAATATATATTTCTTTGTATACAATACTGTTTAAACTTTCTACTTCTTGTTTTTTCTATTCGAATTACATATTATATAATAATTCAACTATATTTTTTTATATTGAATAGAATAGAATAGACGAACTTCTTAATACCAAACAAAAACACAGCATAATGTATGTATTACATGTCTAATCTCTATCGGAAGATCTAAATAATGTTACCATTAAAATGTACAAATTGCTTTTTTATTAAACTTTATATATATACTAAACATTGAAGATATTGATTATCTTAGTAATTATATAATGTAACTATCCAAATATAAATCTTTCAAAATCCGATTAACATACAAAAATGTGAACCGCCATGTAAAAAAAATGCGAGATCGAAAAGTTACAGAATGAAGTATATATCAAAATACAATTGCCAATTCCGGATAGGAAAGGTTCCCTATAAAGTACGTGAGGCGGTCAAAAACAAACTTGTGCAATAAATAACCCGATCGGATAAGAGAAAGGTACGCAGTCAGCCATTTTATATTCAATAAAAAATGAGATAAACTAAATTGTCTTACGATATAGTCAGTCACAGGATTTATGAAACAATATGGCGATTTATTATCTCAATTAACATAATATTATAAACACTAAATTATTCAATATTTTTTATTGTATCACTCAATCAAAAATATCCAATGTCTGTTTTTTTTATATTTTATCAATGTTTAAAAATATATAAACTAGTTACACACTGTATTTTTAGATTAGAATTGATATCTCTTTGACGAATCCATATTGATACAAAAATAATTCAAATAGATATATTTTTATTTTTCTAAAACTCAAAGTATAATAATTGAAATCATTTTATATATTTCACGTTCATTATCATCAGTACAGTGTCAGTCAGACAAGAAATTAATTTTGTTAAAATGGACTTTTATTTTATTAGTAATAATCGTAGTATTATACCAGTACCTAAAAATATAAACGTAATTCATAACTCTAGAAATATTTATAGCGTCAAACGTGTTGAAATTAAAGACTCATTATATCAAAGTTACAAGTAACAAAAACTAAACGTCCTGCAATAGAATAAATACTAAGAAACAAGCTTAATTACGCTATAAAGAAACAGAAAAAGAAGATAAATTAGCGAAACGTTAATTTGACTTGTCATTATATTCAGTATTGTGTTTCAGTAACTTGCGTTCATCACTGGTGGAATTAGAGGGCTCCTCAGCCCGTCTAATGTTATTATTTCATTTGTACTACGAATCCCGCTAATATTATAAATGTAGACTGAATATATTTGGATCTTTAATTACTTGGTTATTTGTTACCTACATAATAAAGTTCTTTTTACATAAAACAATTATCATAAAATAAAATACACAATAACAATTTCCTCCACGTTTCTTAAATAATATAATAGACTAGAATAATAGTATCGAGTCTTTTCTTCTTCTGACATGGATTTCGCCAAATTTAATAACTTGTCTATTTTTTTTATTATGTAAAATCATATTATTGGTTTAGTTAAATATATTTTAAAAAGTTTATATTTGCTTTATTTGGTTAAATATTATTTCTATTTCTGTAACTTTGAAACTATAAGGACTGCATTGCATCAAACAAATCAACAATAAGTTCAACTTAACGCCAACCCTCTCCCATTTCCATTTGACCGAATATTATAGAATGTAATCGAAAAATAAATTTTGCGTTACTGTTCGTAACCTCTATGGAAACTTTATTCCCGGGATAAGGGTCAGCTTCTGTAGAGATTAAAAGACATTATTTACCCGTGTATGCGTAACCAAGCGTCAAAGTTTTATATTTCTGACAGGGGACTGAAAGCCGACCCTTTGAACATGTGTTCTGCCGACGTTTAAATGTGTTTATGTGGGAACGATTTACTTTGAGTGTCGACTATGCTGTCTAACTAATTACGGTTCCCTACCAAAAGATACAAAAGCAGCCCTTATGTAGAGACATCAGTACGTTACGCCTTTTTTATTCAATGTTATAATATTAAATAATTTTTAAGTTCATGTCACAAAGAAAATGATCTAATAAAATCAAACCAGTATAAGTTTAAGATTGCTAGGAGTAACTTATTATTCCTTATACAAAAATGAAACATTTACATACCTATTTAATTTTATTCTACTGAATAATGCGTCGCGTCTCCGAGTTTTAACTTGTAACCTGAAAAATGAATTACCTGAAACGTTACTCAGTAAAATTCGATAATACTTATGATATTTATATATTCTCATATAATTATTAATGAAATGGGAGCTAACAACACACACTAAAAGGCACACATACTTCCTACACCTTGCAAGCAAGTTATTCTTTAAAGCCTTACATCATTTAATACACTCTAATAGGTAAATGTTTAGTACCAACAGGGCCAGTACTTACAGACTAATAGAAATCTATTCACTAAAAATTCAAGAGCAGAATAGTAGACTAGTAGGCCAGTAACACCCTGATAGATTTTCTTTATAATATTTCCAGCAATGCTATAACTATATCGATATATACACAGCCTAACAAACAACCTGTCATGAAGCACGCCAGCCGTCATAAGTACGGACGTAATCCGCCCGGCGATTATGTAATGGTTAACGTATGAGCACAGAATACATATATGATAATACTGGTGAGAGCAATATTGTGTTTACATTGCTTTTACACATATATTATTATGCTATTTCTAACCAACTTGTAGCTTTTACAATAAGTAACTATTATATCGTTTTATTATATATCCTTTTAGATTAAACATTCATAAACAGTACCTTACATTTTAAACTGGAGTATAATCTATCTGTGTATGTAATCTTTTCAATTCCATAACAGCTTAAAGTGATTTATTAACACACATACAAACTTTTACATTTATAGTAATTATATTTAGTAGGCCACATAATATAAAATGAGAATTACTAATATATTGTTCCCTACTACCAATATAATAAAGTTTTCGAAAAATAATTCAAAAACATATCTACATTAAATATGTTAATATTACGTCACCTTATTACAACGCACAAATGTTCCTGTCTAAATTACGATCTATTAATTTCTCTATTTTATATCTGTTTCAACGTGGAGAGAATTAGCTATATACTATTTAAATAAAGCATTTCAAATGAGATTAAACATTGAAATAGGATCGTATTATAGAAAATAATGTAGGCAGTAACAACCTACATAATTCTCTATAGTGGGATGATAAATTAAAACAATGATCATAATTACCATATCACACATTTACAGTTAAGAACATTACTAAACTAAAACAAGAATACAAATAAAGAAATAACTAAATGTACGAAATAAATTATGGAACCGAGACAATATTGTGGAAAGTGGTATCAATCAATAGTGCAGATAATAGTGTAAATGATATTATTGACAAGTGAAACTGTAGTGTCTAGGAACGCCAGTATGTAATTGTAATAATACTTAAAATGTGGTCAGTTAAGTGGATGCGATTAGTGGTGATGCTGACTGCATGCTGGGCCCAAGAGGGCGAATGGAGCGAGGATGCCGAAGACTTGGGTAAGGCAAAATTTTATATAATTTGTTTGTTCGTTAATAGTTTTGATAATACTTAAATAATAGCTAAATTAAAGGAATATAATGTGGAAAGTCTTGATTATTACCTATATAAATTAGAGGCAAAAGCCATCAATCACATCAATATCAGTGCTGTTCAAATATACTGCAAAGTTACTGCTTACCAACAGGTGGGCCGTCTGCTTGTTTGGCATTCTAATTGCATAAACAAAAGATGAGAGCCACGAAAATTGCTGAAATGTATACCTTCTACCTTTTTAAACTAAAATACGATCTATTGTATAGAGCATTAATAGTAAAGAGTGCACCAAAATGAAAACTAGCTACCAGTGAGCCACTCATGAAATTGATCGTTTTCACAATTTAACAAAGAATAAATCTAAAAATAAATATTCATAGTAAATTGATCACGTACGAGTACGCTGTACGAGGTTATTAAATTTCTTTTTATATTTTCACTTATTCTTTTTTGGGAAAATTGTTCATTTTCATTGATACTATCACTAGCTTTTGATTTAATACACTCTTCCCTACTAGCCCTGTATTGTACTCACAAATATTTATCGTTATGAGGAGACATTTTTGTAAAGGCTGCTTAAAGTTAAGGATTTTCATGTCATTTTAATGTAGTATATAAAATACTCAAAATTTAACACCTAGAGTAACAAATACAATATGAAGTTTAATAAAAAACTGTAACATTAATTATTTCTATTAATGTAATAGTAAGTAAGCACTTAGGTGCCTAATGTTAACATAATTTAAGTGGATCAATATAGCTATTCGTGACATGCCATTAGCAATTAATTCCTTAATAACTAGCTTTGATCAAAGCAATGTAACGTAATTTAACTAATGGCAACTTTATATTTATGAAAATTGGCCAATAACAAAAATTATTTTTGTCAATGCCACACCTTGCCATGAGTCGCAGAGCGATCAAATGAAATAAATCGAACAAACTCAAGTGGGAATCGCGTTGAACCCATTAAAAGCGATTGCTTGTCGAAAATGAAAATGGGGAGATATATTTTTGTTTGTTCGCCGCCTCTGTTATTCCGTGTTTTTTGGCTGATTTTTATGCAATCCCAATGGAGCTGCGTTTACACGCAACAAATTGCGCACTTCAATTGTAAATGGTGATTTATTACATTCAAAATTATGGAAATGTAAATTGTAGATGATATATGAATTTTAGAGGTTATAGACCTGAATCCTGGCTTATATTATTTCATATGTAGTCGTACCAAACACTACCTAAATTGAACTGGTCTTCGGTTTGATTCTAATCACTAATGTAATCCTAGGTTCATAGCAATCTCTAACGAAAACTATATAACAAGGATCCTTGATATAATCACTTTACATAAAAATATGTCAGATAATAGATACACATCAGATCAGATTTTGACAATATCCGATATTAAATTGTTTTCTTGTTTTTTAATTGCGGGTATTTTGTCAAAGTATTTTATAAACAGCTTTGTTTGAATTTAATTTCACGGAACACAACATTTTTATCACGGAATCTAACTTGCAAATAGACTTTGTATCTATTTTGAAGAACTTATACTAGTCTGTCTACGCATCGCTCATATGTACTCAAGTTCGATTTCTCGTTTGAATGACTGCAAAAGGAGCAAAAAGAGAGACCCAATTAAAAAGTGTTCATGCATGGGTAGCTCTATTCGCTTCAATTTTATTGGAACGATTAATTTTATTGCGGAAATTTCTGGACAGCGGAACGAATGGAAAACGAGACTCGAACGACGTGGCTTCCCCGACCTTTTGTGGTTTCGCGATGGATGGGTTTGTTCAGTACCAAATCTAATCAAAGAGCACGAAGCTGAAAAAAGCATCACCACACGCTTATTGTGAATGTGATGAATGAATTGAAAATTTTATGTAAACCGTTGAACGTCAAGCGTGACTGTTACTTCAGACAACAAATCTGATCATTGTGTAAATCGGTATGTACCCATACGTGAATATTTACGTTTATAAGTCGAACATTTTTATATAAAATAAACTATAAAACAACCAGCTATCATTCACGCAGAGATGGAATTACCTTAATGCTAGTTATAACAGTACAATAGTAGGATGATAGAGAGAGAAAAGTGTAGTACTTAATTAATTTACAAGAAGCAGAGCTCGTGTTTTTTTTATAAATGCATCCATAAAATACCTACAATAACACATAGAAAACAAAACAATATAAACATTATACTCATAAATACAAAAGTTTGCATCATGTGAGAAATCTAACCGGCAGCCATGAGAAATAAAGAGTTGGTTAAACCACCGAGGCCGTTAAAGAAATTATAATATTAAACAGATTTACCGCTCAATATAACAGATATCCTTATCCTTACTAATATTATAAATGCGAAAGTAACTCTGTCTGTCTGTCTGTCTGTCTCGCTTTCACATCAAAACTACTGAACCGATTTAAATGAAATTTGGTACACAGATAGTCTGGACCCTGAGAAAGGACATAGACTACTTTTGAATGCGAAAAAGGATTGTAAGGGGTTGAAAGTGGGGATGAAAGAAATCGTCATTTTTGAAGCTAAAATCTTGAAACTTATTTTTGAGGCTGTTGATTAAATATGAATAAATATGACATTCAAAGTTTGTAAAAATTGTACAAACTTTGAATGGTAAAATATCATATATGCTATAATTTAAAAATACATTATATAAATTGGGGGATATGTAATGATAAGAGTGATGCAGACGCAGTCGCGCGGGGCAGCTAGTATATATATATATACATATATATACATTTCTCTAGTTAGCAAGCAAGATAAAATATATTACATTACATATTTGGCTTATTTTCCTTTATGTTCCACACGCGTAGAAGAAGGACTTCCATGTAATTTATTGATCCGGAAACCTTAGTACAAATTGTTTCGGCAATATGACTATTTTGCCGACGGACACAAAGTCGTATAATCCACTACTTTCGCGAGCCTGTCGTTCTCCTTAATTCCAGGAACGGAAGCTTTAGTGGACACCGGGGACACTATAAACCCACGCTTTACCTTTAGTTTTAACTGATTAAATTGTCATCTCGGTTGATGTAAATTTAATTAATTTAAATCTTTTACAACTAGACTATAATACCTACTACGATACGTAATTTAATAAGTATTATATTAAGTAGATGAATCATTTAAAAATTAATAAATTTAAAACAAATGTTTATCATTGTTTAAAATATTTTTTACGACTGTTTACACTTGCATACAGTTTATAAACGAGATCTTTACTATTATAATATTATATAAGATCTCGCGATATTTCGACGATTTTTTAATAAAATCGGTCTGAAATCACTGATTGAATTTCATGAGACAAAAATATTGCCTATGCATCCCCGTTACGTCCCTAGAATGGAGAACTAGTCATTTAAATTATTAAATATCATAATTTTATTTGGAAAAACGGTTTCCAGTTGTCCTGTTAAATTATAGAATCTAGAGTTACCTAATATTGGAATCTTATAGATTTGTATAAAGCTACATATAGTCTAAAAAGGTAAAGTGACACTGTTTCAATGTATTTTGTGGTGACTGTCAAGTGTAAGTGTCTAACAGTAGTGTTGACGTTGTATGTTGATAAAATCTAAGATAGCAAAAAGTTCAACATCTCATTACGGCATCGAACTTTCTGGAAGATTTTTTATTATTTAGTTTTATCGACTTTTATTGCTCTAAAGACATAGCCAAATCAATACATTGACTGTCAAAAAAGAAAAATCGACGCAAGAGCGTATAAAACGTATCCAATACGACAGTATACTCTTTCATTTATAAGTGACGTAATCATTAAGCTCCTCCTTTTTATGAAGACGATTATTAAATTCCCCTATTTCTGATTGCTGCAAACGCTACAAGCACTTATTCATATAAACACGAAATAGTAAAACAATATTTACTATTCCAATCATTGAAGACAAAAGAGTTAGTCTAGTAGTCAGTCTATATGTGCAAAGTGAAACTGTAGTTTTGGACGAAGCATTGAACTTCCAAAAAACAACGAAATCACCGATCGACCGAAGCATTGGGTGCATAGTTTCGCAGTACAGGCACTGAATACGTAAACCAAATAACTAGTAACTCTTAACATCCTCATCGCATATTTCTAATGCTTTCCACCGAATTGTATTTATGTAGTGTCTATTCATAAAAACATTATTTTTATATACGTGTATTTATGCTGTCATCGTAATGAATAAACAAAGATAAAGAAAAAAAAGAGTTCTTTTTCGTATTCTTACCCTACTAAATATTATTTTTACTGTCATTAATTCACTTAAACTAAAACTCAAAAATGTTCACATTACACATTTTTCTTACTTATACATTTCAATTTCAACTAGTAAAATCTTCCGTGCATCGATTCCCTGACCCAATCCAGATCAAAATTATGACGGCCTGACTCAACGTTCGAACCCTTAGCGGTGCCCCAAAATTAAAGTCGTATCCGTCAGGTAATTGGCCTTCAGCCGCCCCATAAGTTGTGCTGTGGGTTTGGAGAGCTCTCTGTGAAGGAGTATAAGCCAACTGCGTAAAGTTTGTAAGAGGAATAATATCAAATACTTATATACTAGAGTAGTGTGACGTGAGCTACGTTTCTACTTCTGACAGTTGGTTAGATTGCACAGCATGTATTTTTTAGTTTTTTCTTCTTTTTGATCATGACTTAGTCACAGTTTTATATTTTTTTACAGTTCTTTACTGATGTTAGACTCATTACATGTGTAGTCGTCGAAATTGTCAAGATACAAATATATAATATAAATATTACAATAGCAGTCGTATGTACATATATGTTTCTATTCAATTAAAAATCGTACGTTATTCTAAAAAATGTACTATACAGGTATATTTTAATACGAATGTACAAGACTATTCTAGATTTTTATATGGATTTTATTACGTTCACTGCGATTCAGCAGTTGAAATTAATTA